TGTGTTGTCAAATTGCTGCACTGCTTATTTAGCTAGAAATAACTCATAAGCATCTACTCCATGGAATTTATAAATAATATGTTTGCTTCATTTGGGAGCCAATTCATTAGACTTGCTGCTGCACAGATGGTCTGCTGAATTCAACCAATTTATAGACTTTCCAACATTTCGAAGTGCACTGTGCTAATAACCAGCGTGAATATAAAGAGCATCTATTTTAGACCACAATGCATAGCAGCATTCAGCTAAGATAAAAGTAGAAAAAAGCAGGATAATAAACTACTGCCCTTCAGGGTTAAATATATTCCACTGCAGCTGATACAGTTGCTTGCTAGTAATGAAGGGCCAGTGATGAGAGCAGGTATTCATAATAGAGGAATTTATAAACAGGGAGGTCATTGTTTTTCACATCCAACCCTGTGGCGAAGAAAAAATGAGATAAAACAACATAGGAATTACACTTCTCTCGAACACGGCACTGCATAATAAATCATGCTGCCCTCAACCTTTGTGCCAATGTTTTTCAGTTCTGATTCTCTGAATATACATTAATATCCATTTAGTTTTACTACTGTAAGCTCTTCATGGTTTCATGACATGACTACATCTGTGTCTAACAGGGAGGAATTGGACCAGTGGGCAACGCTGGATCCCAGGGAGTGAAAGGTTTCCAGGTCAGTTGTACGACATTATCGACTATTATCAGGTTATTTTGTATATCTTTTGGGTAAACTCACTGGCTGTGTGTCTCTGTCATGAACTACAGGGGGTAAGCGGGTCCCTGGGTGATCCCGGTCTTCCAGGTCCAACTGGAATCCGTGGAGAGTTTGGCGAAAGGGTGAGTGTGACGTATGTGACGATATGAAAATTGCCCTAGGTCTTAACGTCATCTAGTGTAATCCATGATACCTTATATGGCTGTGACTTTCTTACAGTAATACAAATATATTCTCTCATTATTATCAATTGTTATTTTCTTGGATTAAATTATGTTTTAAACATAACACGTCGTTCGTAATGACCTACAGATTATCAGTTAGCTATCATAGAAGACCAAGAAAATAAATAAACATCTTGCTGGTGATGCAGACAACTATGGAAAAAAACATCTTCATATTATATTATACATTTTTTCTACACGAATATAGGAAATATGACCAAACAATGTGCATTAACTCAAGGTCTTTATCATGGTCTTTATATTCAGAAAATATTGATCGCTGAAACAACTGAATTATTTATTTATTCTCAATACGTTGACATATTGTTGATTAATCTTCAATCATCATTTCACTTATAGCACCAGCTCAAACACAGTAGGTACAATCCCTCAAAGAAATCTACATTAAAAGGACAGACATAAAACCAAACGTCTCTGCACACCAGCATATCGCAGACAGATATGTAACTGTCCAGGTACAGCATGTCAATACTCAGGTCATCCCCTCCTCAGTCTTAGTGGTATGAACTCAGACGGCAGCCAGGAGAAACTCAAACACAAAAAGGCCTCCTGTTCAGAGTCTGAGGACAGAACAAAGCCGGTCTTTATGCCGCTCCTGGTTCCCCTCGTCAAGCCCACCTTACTTCCCGTTCATCCCCCTTCCTTCTGCACAGCCGGCTTCCACAAATATCTCTATATTTATTCTCTCTACTTTTTCAACCTTTTAGGGTCCAGTTGGAGCTTATGGAGCTAAAGGAGACATGGTAAATATTCAAGTCCGAGTTCAAGCTAAAATACAGAATGACTTCCTGTGTGTCCAAAGAGACACAAGAGATCGGACGTTTCTTAGTCAGGTTGTTCAAATTTAAAGAAAACTCATAGTAAAAAACTAAATTTAACTTTGAGTTATCTGTTGTGTTCTCTAGGGTGTGGCAGGAAGTGACGGTTTACCAGGAGAGAACGGGGAACCTGTAAGTATATATTTTTTCCACTGTTCAATCAGAATCCAAACACACAGTGTGAATGTCCAAGAGACACATTTCTTTGTCAGCTATCAGTTATATAATTGGTTTAGCAGGAGTAAACACATTAAACATGACATATTTGAAAATCTTCACATTGGTCTCCCATCAGTTGTAATTGATATTTTCTCATACTTATTTAGGAAGTACTTCATTTTGTTGCACAAGTCAATTTTGTCCTCTTTTTTTTTTTAAACAGCCTTTAGTATTTTTGCTGCCAAAGGATATCAGAGCAAAACATCTGTTGTGTTTTTATAAGAATGTATTATGGCCATTATTTAAATTAAATCGATGCATTTATGTTCTAAAATGTTTTGTCTATTTTATTGGTTTGATCATTTGTATAATTTATTGAAATCTTTGGATCGCACTGACTTGAAAACTGCCATACAGATTAAGTTTGTTTGCTGTGTAACGCTCAATAATGTAAAGTCATTTCGCCAATGTTTAACTAAACACACAGGATGTTTCTATTTTCAGGGTCCTTTCGGCCCAGTTGGACAAAAAGGAGAGGTGAGCGACATCAATGTTATACATCTTTCTGCTTGAATATGTGTTCATCTTTTGTTATTTTGTGTTACTGTACTGTCTCTACGAATTACCCAGGGACTAAAAAGTGTTTTGAATTTAATCGCTATTTTGTTACTTGTGTTTACTCTGATACTTGTATAGTGTTTTATACACCTTCATGGACCTGATCACTTAAAATATTTTAAAGATGCAATAGCTGAACCTCTATTAGCACTTAACTTAGTTAGTTTCAATGTTGTGTGTGTGTGTGTGTGTGGGTGTAATTAGCAGCACAAGTTTGTTTCCAAACTCCCTTTGTGTCGGCTCCCTTACTCATCATTAAAATGGAGCCTAGCTCCGAGCTGCTGCCCACTTGTCGAGTTGTGCTTCACATTCCAGGTTTAATAGGATTAATTAGAGATAGGTATTTTTGCTTGAGCTTTAATGACCTGTTCGCTGCTACCGCCACAAGGGAGACGAGTCACATTAAGAGCAGCACAATTTATGTAATTAGAGACGCCATATTAATCCACCCCCACATTGTCTCAACAGACCTGTGTGCTCCTTGGATTGTGTTTATTAAACGATCAAATCAGAGGCTTATGGATGTTTTTAGCTCCACTTTGGAACAAATTCATTTCTTTATTTTTGCAAAAATGTACCGAGTTATTTACGAATAATACTCTGTGATTATAGTCAGGAAAGCGGGGTGAACTGGGACCTAAGGGCGTGTCTGGTCCTCAAGGAGAGCTCGGAGCAAGAGGGCCTCCTGGGAAGACAGGACTGATGGGCTTCCAAGGGGAGCAGGGTCTGCCTGGAATTGCCGGAAAGACAGGTGTACCCGTGAGTGGTTTTGTAAATCTTTAAGGAGCTTCTGATTGATTGACGCATACGTTTTTTATTTTATGAACTGCCTGAAAACATGGGGTATTTACTTGTGTTTCAGGGTATACTGGCGAGTGAGCAGCACATCAGAGAGCTGTGTGGCTTAATGGTCGATGGTGAGACTTCTTAATTGACCTTGTTCTGTGATTTACTCCAGTGTAGGATACAATCTAAACTGGATAATAAACCCTATGGTGTTTTCTATCATACAGACCAGATTGCTCAGCTGGCGGCTAACCTTCGAAGACCCCTGGCCCCTGGGATGGTGGGCCGCCCCGGACCTGCAGGACCTGTAGGAGAGCCAGGAGATGCTGGCTCTATCGGGCATCCAGGTTCCCGTGGACCCCCAGGGTACAGAGGCCTGTCAGGAGAACTTGGAAACCCAGGAACAAGAGGTGTGAAACATTAAAATCAGTATGGACTGATCTATTGAAAAAGTATCACAAGATAAACCTGAGGGTGATGAGATGATTAATGGGATGGGAAAGGAAAAGCCAAACAAATGGGCATATGGTTTTGAAGTTCTCTCTGATTCTTGGTTTTTTGGGGATAATGGTCAGTGGGCCTTGATCAGTTATTTAAATGAAACCATTTGATCACTAACAGGGGCCGATCCCCCTTAATGGAACTGCTCACAATGAGGAATACCTCTTGTCAAATAAAAAAATAAAAATAACATTTCTGAAATACAGATTAAACGTGTAAAAATAAAGTACTCAAGTGGAGAACAGTACTTGGGGAAATGCACTTTACACCATTGATTAAATTGTTCTGTTTTCACTACAGGTAATATTGGAGAGCAAGGAGATAAGGGATTACTTGGTAAAGCTATTGATGGGCCAACTGGAGACCAAGGATACCAAGGTATGTGGCCTGAAACTTTCAATCTAATTTGTAGTTAACAACGTTGTAGCTTAAGCTCTTATTAAAGTCAGTAAATACTGAATAATTTACTGGCGCAAATGGAACATAGTCATCATAAATGGGATTAGCTACACCACTGCTATTGGTGATAAATCAAAATGAGACAATGTGAATCTATTGTGTAATTTGAACTGTTGGCATTGAAATCAAACAAGAAAGATATGGTGGGGAGTTTTGTTAAGGAACCCCATCGCCTCACTTCGCAAGTTTCATCAACCTCATCACACCACAGGCGCCACTGCTTGCCGTGTATTGTGCCTGAGGTGAATGACCTTTGAGGCGATGTAGTTCCTCTAAATGTAACACTTAATCTGGTAAATTCAGAGTTTACCCTCCTCCCAGGCTATATCATTATTATTATTTTGTACCTACTGTGGCCCTAATAGGTCAGTTACATATCATAGAAAACAACCGCTTCCATTTGTCTCTGGCTCATTCCTTCTATGCTTTTCCACAGGTGTTCCTGGAGTAGCTGGAATTGTCAAAGACGGGCGTGATGGATCTCCAGGAGATCCAGGTGAGCCTGGAGAGTCAGGCAGGGTGGGTAGGACTGGGCACCAGGGAACACCTGGAATCTGTGACACATCAGCCTGCCAGGGAGCATCAGTCGCTGGAAAATCCTCCAACCCCAAAAACCATTAAACATCCTGAAACCTGGTGCCTCCCTCGAGGAGGAAGGGTGATACGAGAGGGAAGGGAGGAATGAAGGAAGAGAGTGATCACAAAAAATGTCCTCTTTATTAAAATAACTTTATCACAAGATGGGAAGAGTAACATCAAACAGGTGTGATATTTTGAGAGGAGGAACATCCGAGGAGTGAGATGAAAACCAGAGCAACTGAGAGACAAAACATCAAGATGACATCCAGAAACAAAGTGGACCGAGGCCAAGAAGAGTCCCAGAGAACAACAGCAATGCTCCAAATACTACAGTATCACATAACAAGACTTGACAACTGGAAGAGAACGACGAGTCCTTTTGTGTATACAAACTTTGTACATGCCCCCATTACCTTGGTTAAAAATGTTCTGCAGATGACTCTAAAAACAACAGTGACTGGCTCTGAGGTGAATGTGCATGTATCATTGCCCATTCATGTCAATCACAGGTGTTACCTCAACATTCAAGCTAACAGTGTAAAATATGGAAACAGGTGGCAGAGGCAAAACAACCTCTGTCAAGGAGCTGTGTGTGTATTGTAAAAGGAATAAAAAAAACACAAATACCCAGGTGCCCAGAAATTGTGTAGATTAATGCAAAAACTTTTACCTTTTGATAGTCTTGTTTTTTTTTCTACAGCTTCTTTGTTTGTATTTTTAAATGATTCTTTAGCTTTGAGAATCAACAACAACAATACTTGTGGATGCATAAATCAGACATTGTAAAATAAATGTAAGAACCTTAGGAGCAGTCTTTTTTTTTGGGTAATCTACAATGACAACATCCACTATGTACTACCGGTGCTGTAACTATTAAATATACATGACCTTAAATACTATTTATTATTTGTGGGTGACTGTTGTATGTACAGTAAGATGCTACAGCGACATGTTGTAAGAAAGAACAAATAAAGCCACTTTTCAGTAAAGGATTACTCTTCTCTGCATCAAATGAACAGTCTGCATGTCAGAGGAATATGCTAACAGAAATGAATATCAAGTTATCCCATTCATTTACAGAACTTTAAATTAGGAGCAGATGAATTTTAAGTGCATTTAAATATATGATTTAAGAATAAATGTCGACAAGAAAACTGAACTGAACATACTCTATGAACATTTAGAAATTTAAATTAATTCAATGAAAATACAGTTGAATATGAAAAGGTGCTCGGATAGTTTAAACTAAATTCATCGCTGAAGAGTTGAAAATCTAGTCCATCCAGAACTATCTGCTGTTTGCAAAGGGAAACAGCGCCACCTACAGTATGTATGACATGACAATCATTCATGTGTTGTCTTAAGATGCTGCAGAAAAAAACCAGCCCTGATTAGATCAAGTATGGAAAGGGTCATTGCTCTACCCCAAGAGGGATGCTCAGCACCGTGTCCATCTCCCGCTGGATCGGGTTCTTGCCTGAAGAAGGGCTGGATTTCAGAAAGTGTTCTTTGCCCTCAGTGAAAGCCCTCTGAAACTCCTGTTGGGGGGAGAGTAGCACATCTTTCTGGTTAATGAGAGCAAGTATTAATAGTAAAGCTTTCCAAAAAGGGACCGTGCTGGTGAAACATTCTACTACTCGTTAGGGATGGGTATCGTTAAGGTTTTAACGGTAATACTACTTTTATCGATCCGGTCCTCGAACGGTATTTTTATCGGTTCTTTTAATAAAAAAAAAAGGTAAATGATCTAAACAAAATAAATTAAATAAATAATATTTCACATCAAAAGAAACAACAATGTTTTAACAAATCATATTAAATAATCTGATGACAGAACTGTAAACAGAATAGCTGAAACTTTAACTAAATAAATAACTCTCAGTTTCCTCTAATCATTAACCCATGTTTGTATAATGGAGTTAACTCCTGTGTTGCTGCTAGCATACATAACACCTGACGTGGAAACGTTACTCGTGGATGGGGCTACAGAGCTGCTAGAAAGACAGTGGAAAACGGTGCATTCCTCCGTCTGAATGTGGAGCACTTTTCCAAGATGTTTGGACAAATTGCTCGTGTTACCGCCTTACATGCTTAACTCTTATTGCACTTTTGGTAACGAGCATTGTCCACATCGAGACGGGTAAAGTTTAACCACACCTTGGAGCGCGTTCTCTTCAACATCTCCGTGCGTTGCATGACCACTTGCCTCTTCTTAACAACAAAGCATTCGTAACCTCTATGTGCTTTATTACAGAGAATCCATCTATAAGACGCATTGCAAAGGAACACTAAAACAGGCTTATGTCATATAAGGAAAATGTAGGCAGCCTTAGCCTCACACTGTCACTGTCTGACAGAAACTACAGAACTAGATCATTCCCACACAGTAAAATAATCAAGTTAATTATTTTAAACTTTAAAACTCAGAAGAATAAGATTTGAACTTTAAGTTATATCAAGCAAATGAATAATGCTATTTAACTGAACACAAATGTACCTCTTTGAAGGTGTCTCCATATGTTTTATAGATGTATTTAAGGAAGGCAGTGGTCATCTGCAGGGTGGTGACTTTGTCTGTATCCGACTCACAGAATGGCACCAGCATGTTCAGCTCATCACAGTACAAACGGATCCTCTTCCTGTGCAGAAAACAATACAAATGTTTATAATCTCTCTAATTAATACATTTGTCGTTTGGCCAAAGAAATTCTAAAACCAAAATCAGTTGGGAACTTCCCAGTAGAGAACCTAAAACCAGGGAATGTTTGGGATAGGTGCTTGAATTGAATTGAACATTTATCAAAATCGACTGGAAGAGCCAGTTGCAGACTGACAAAGCATATTCTAGTTTCTGCAGTTATTTATTTATTCCATCCTGCCAGCACAACCAATCTTTATTCCTAGTTGTGTAGCTTAGCCTCTGTGGCTGAGCATTGTTAGCATAGTAAAACACATGTGGGTTAGGGCTGGGCGATTTTTTCGGTTTTCACGATTAATTTGCATTTTTACTTTCCTACGGTTTGTGAAATGGCTGAACCGAAAAATCGCGATTTAAAAACATTTCTAGACTCCGCAGATTTGTTTTTGCTTTAAGGGACTCCGTAGTAGCTTACTCTCTCACTTTCCAGAACGCGCCCAAAATTCAGCCACATTGCCTGTGACTACCCGATCTGCAGCTCTGCCCGATCTGCTGTTGTTATGCTGTGTTCGTTATTCTCGCGTCCAGGAGAGAAGCTTTAAAAGGAGACTAAATGGAGTCTCTGAGAAGGTTCAAATGGTGCTTTAATTAAAAAAGCTCTCGTGAGCGAAGGGAAGAGAGCGAGCTCCACCTCTCCAGCTGATATATCTCCTCCGCTGGCTCGCCGTGGGCCGGTTGGCGCTGGGAGCCGGCCCTCCACGTCTCCAATGTTCGTTGTTGAGCATAACAGAGGACTCCGACATTGTACATTAAATATATAACTAAACACGCCTGTTCTCCTCCTTATCTCTTTCATGACTTTTCATTTAATACATTTTAAACGCTGTAATCAATACTCCAAAAATACAGGAAATACTTCACGGCTGGTTTCATTTACGGTAGTTCCGGATGTTGTCTCATACTACTACCCACGTCTGTAAACAAACGTATTCAAATAAACTGTACCTTCATTTAATATTCAGCAATAATAATATCTCCACGTCTATAGTTGTAGTGTTGAAATCAGTATGTTTCGGTGTGCAACACTCCGTGTCATATCGCTACTAAATTCACCTCTATAGTAAATGGTATATTAGCCACATGCTAAATGCTAACCGTCCGGAGATGAAGGATTTTCAGAATAAAACTGGTTGTGCACAAGAACTTCTAGTTTTTCAGTATAAAACAGCATTTAAACTGACGGTATGCGTAACATTTATGATATTAAAACACATTTTACACCTCACCGTGTTTTATTCTTATAGAAGTAAGAAGAGAAGTAATGGGGCAGAAACCCTCCTTTTTACGCATTTTTTGCAAAGAAAATATGTATTTACATTTTGTCTTGGTCTGGTTTGTTTAGAAAAAAACAGAAAAAAATCGAGGTTTAAATCTAAAATTGTCCATTAGTTAGAAAAAAATCGCGATTTTATTTATAGGCCAAATTGCCCAGCCCTAATGTGGGTATAGCATGCCAAACTCATTTGAGTATACATACTATCATCATTAGCAGTGTTAATTACACATCCACTCAATTAATACAGAATTATTTCAAATGTATATATTGGTTATTGTGACCTCAATTGATCAGAATGTTTTGTTATAGAGCTCCAATCCCTATTACCTGCTTGTCATGGGTCAAAATGCCAAACAGGAAGTGAGAGCATCCAATAGGCTTTATAGTAGATGGGACTGTACCACGTTGAGCAAGGACAGAGTTTGACATTTTATATAGTTAACATTTATATATGTATTATGAAAATTAGAAAAAATTGTTTGAAATGTTTGTTGTTTAACATGATAATTGTATTGTCTTAATTCAATATGCACTGGCAGTACTCTCTCTTTCACCGTGTTCATATATCATTTTGTTGACTACCTTTTATCCATGTATTTTTTCTTTTAATGTTTATTTTATTAGCTTTTCTTTTTAATGACTGATTTTAAATGCCATTTTCTTAATCTCTTTCATTTTTTGTAAAGCACTTTGAATTGCCTTGTGTTGAAAAGTGCTATATAAATAAACTTGCCTTGCCTTGCCTTGCCTTGCCTTAAATCGCTGAAATATTGGGAATAAACAAGGAACTCATTCCGGACACAGTCTGTAGGGAAAGCTGAGTAAGGCATATACACCTTTGAAATTATATTTAATTAAACCTCATCAAAAATGTATGATGGTGCAGAAACACTTTCAGCTTTTGGTTATGGGTGCTCACCTGCGTTCCCTCTCCTTAATGTTGTGTCTCTCCCTGCGCTGGATATGTGACATGTGGGGTCGAGCTCTTTTCCTAGTGCTGCTCCCTGATTTTCCGGCGAAGTCTGGGTCAGTCGAAGCAACCTTTGTAGGTTGAGAGCTTTGGGTACTACCAAGCTTCCTGAAGGCAGTACGTGTCACCACATCATCTATGGAAAACACCACGGTGTATAAGATGTAAATAGAACACAAACAATAACATTTGTTTTGACAAGACAAGGTTAAGAGTCCTGATTATTACTTTCTATGTTGAACAACAGCTGGTCCTCTGTTGAGTTGCAGCCACCGGTGAACTGAGATTTTGTACCAACCCTCTCTGGGCAGAAATTAATCGAGAAACTCTTTGGGATGATTAAACCCTGGTGCTTATTAGGTTCAATCATGTGAGGAATATGGCCAATCACCTGAGGTCCAAACAGGAAGAAGAAAAACATATTGATCAATTAATTCTGCCTGTGATGCCCTTAAAGCTGTAGTAAATTGCATTTTAATATATTTGTTTCATACTTGTTCACACATGTTGGGTATTGGGGTAAATACACCCCCAACAAATGGGCTGGAAACATCAAACCGCATTTGAGGGTGTTTGACTGCATCTTGAGCCTCAGCAGACTGCTGCAGCATTGTCAGAAAACTGAAACACAACAACAAAGATCTGGTAATTTCCATTAAATTTAGCATTATGGGGTTCTGTTACTTAACACGTAGTAATACAGATTAATAGGAATGCCTACTTGCTAAGAACTGCCGACTTGATATCTTGATGTCTTGGGGTGTCAGCAGACATGGTGTTAAACCTCTTCTCCAAACAAACTCTAGCAGCAGATACAGATTTTTTCTGTGAAAATGAGCTGCTGTTGGAGTAAGGTTCACTCTGGCTGTCTTCTCCTCTGACTCTGGCCAGCACAAAACCTGGGACCTCTCCATAAGAAGCTGGTGTCTTTTCTCCTGGCATCAGACTGTGGTCATCAGTTGAAGTCGAAAGGTCAATAGCTTGAGTGGTTGCTAAGGGGGATTGTGCTGTGGATCCAGTGGTGTCTTTAACCATCACTGTAGCACTTGGATGAGATTTGGCATAAGGCAAATCTAAAGGGGTAATGTGTGCCTCCACATGTGCCTGGATAAGGTGCTGAAAGTTTGTATATTCAACCTCTGACAACTCCATCATGCCGAGCTCAGGTCCCATCATGGGCCCATGATCATGTGTCAAACATCCACCTTGGCTCAAAATCACCCCAACAGGGTCAAAGGTGTGTTCTCTGGATGAAGGTGATACATAAAGGGAAGACATACTTCACTCTAGAGTTGGGATGAAGAGCAGAAAAAAAACGTTCAGTTATACCAGAACAGGCTTTTTATAGTAGCTACAGTCCATGTTAACAGTCCATGGTAAATTTGCACTATCTTCCTTTTAAAGCACCATTATATTATCTTAAATTGAAATTAGTTTTGTATTGTGGTGAACACCTATTAATACACTGGTTCAGTTAATTCAATGGTACATTTGTATAATTGTATGCATTTTAGTGGCTCTGTATTCGATGTGATATCAATCTTTTGTGACTATTTTATGAGATTGTAATTCTCTACTGTGAAGTACTTTGAATAAATTAAGCTTATTAATATTATAATTATTAATATATTGTTATCAACCGACCTTAACTTAATGTCGCCCTGTAAGCGGCCTTGTCCAGAGTATTAACGTTTATCCTAATAAGAAACGAACATTGTAACGTAAACATATTAACACGACATACTGTATATATACTGACATTAAACAACTAATCCACATCTTCAAGTAAACAGTGGTGTAAAAAAAATTCCGCTAGCAGTGAAATACTACGTGACATTAAATTAGCATACGAGGAACTTTAAGCTAGTAAGCTAACCTTAAATTTGACAAGACGTTGGCTATAGGCTAACGTTACATTTGAAAATACGTTTACAATCGAGGTAAATAACAATACATCATTACAAACATGTTTAAAAGTCCACTAACAAGTCGTTAAATGTATAACGAGCTAAGAAATATTATTAAACTCTATTTGCCTTATTATTGGGCCTTTACTTACTTCAATGCCAACTCCTTACTTGACCGATGGACGCTGGGTAGTAAGGACCTCTTTACACTGTGAGGCTGTCATGGCTGAAGCCTCGGTTTATTTATTTGGTATGTATTATATATTTTGCAGACGAAAAAGACTGTGTCAATATCCGTAGTGCTAAAACCCAATTGTGTACAAGCATTGATGAAAACTTAATTAATTACTTTGAGCGCCAGTAACGGAAGGCCTAGTATTTCCAGTCCATTATGCTACTACTCAACTACATGTCAAGGTGGCAAATATTGCACTCTCTTACTCTTTCAAACATATTTTTTGTCAAGATATGTTGTTTATAAATAAAGAAATTAACAAGAACCAACAACATAAATTAATTGTCTATAATACGAGGCACTATAGTCTAAGGTGACCAGATTTTCTAAATTAAAACCGGGGACATTTTGAGTTTTGCGGTCAATATATCATTAACATATCCAATTTTCATCACTGTTAAAGAAAAAGGGGGACAATTCTGGTTTAATGTAATTCGAACATTTGAACTGTTGGATACAAACAGAAGGAAGATAGCTCATGAGACTTCAAAGGTCTTTTATTTTGAAACTGTACATCAGATTGTCCAGATTCTCTCTGAGTGACTAGATGGGGTCTCCTGCTATCACCCTGAAGTGAAATAAGTCTTTGATACTGGACAGTTTTTGTTTTTATTCTTATCTAAAAACAGAGGGATGATAGCTCATATATGAGACTTCAAAGGTCTTTTATTTTGAAACTCTACATCAGATTGTCCTGATTCTCTCTGATTGACTAGATGGGGTCTCCTGCTATCACCCTGAAGTGAAATAAGTATTTGATTGACTTCGAATGACTCTTTGATTAAGGACGGTTTCCATTAAATAATAATCAAAATATAGATGGAAAATAGATCTAATTTGAGATTTTAAACAGCATACATTTTAAATTGTGCTTCAGAAAGTAATGTTATTTTAGGAGTGTTGTGAGATGGTGTCAACATCAATTGAAATTAGTCACCCAGTGGAAATGTCAATGTCTTCATAACTATACTTACATTTTACATTCACTCAGTTATAATGTGGTAGTTATACGTAGTTTGTTTTAAAGTATTATTGATCACATTATATAGTACATATTTCTTAATTTAAGCTCCAATATGAATATGTGTGGTGTGTAGATCAGTTTCAACCGGGGACAGGCCAATACAAACGGGGACTGTCCCCGGAAAACGGGGACGTCTGGTCACCCTACTATAGTCTACTGTACGTTAGGCTATGTAAGATTCAATATTTACAAGCTTTCTACATACACAGAGGTGGGATAAGTAGGCTACTTATATCTTGTACTTGAGTAAAAGTAGAAGTACAAGAGTGTAGGAATACTCTGTTATAAGTAAAAGTATAGTATTCAAAATGTTACTCAAGTAAAAGTACAAAAGTATTAGCCTCAACATATTCTTAAAGTACCAAAAGTAAAAGTAGCTAGTTTTAATTACATTGTTGTGAATTTACTCCAGTAAAGTCTTATTTAAGTGTTGTTTATATTTCACATTATTATCATACAAATCTCAAAGTTAATAAAGGTAGACCTATAGAATAAATGTAGTGGAACAAATGTAGTAGAATAAAAGTACACGATTTACCTCTGATTTGTAGTGGGGTAGAAGCACAAAGTAGCATAAGATGGAAATACTCAAGTAAAGTACAAGTATCTCAAAATTGTACTTAAGTACAGTACTTGAGTAAATCTACTTAGTTACTAGTTGTTCTAAAGAACAACCCAAACAATTTTTTTCCCCCCAAAATAAAATTTGACAACAATCAATTTCATTAACGGGAGAACCTAAAAGATAAGAAAAATCATTGTTGTGTTTTGTTCTGGGGTATCTCAAAATCTGAGGGACCTTCCTGCTAGACAATAAGTACAGTACTGGAGTCAATGTGTTTACACTCACAGAAATGTTAATTAAAAAAAATCAACAACTATTTTATAGGTAGGCTAATGAAGATTCAATTGAATGCTGTCGCTCCCGTTTGGTAAGACATGAGACTTGCAGGTGGATATGGAGGGTTATACAAAATTGCTACAGGCAGATTCTCCAATTACCTTTTCACGTTCACAACTATTTGTAAATTAAACACATATGAACCTCTGTAAAAGGGACTTTTTAATTGTACCTTGTAGCCAGTGTATGCGCTACATAGCAATCATCAATTCCAAATATTGATGATAAAATCAGAGTAAATACACATTTAAAAAAGGCATTTTATTTTATTGACTTTATGCATTTCGAAAGTACAATGAAATGGATTACTTTAAACAACAGAACATTAAGGCTACTGTACTGACACTATGGCCATGATGAAAAAATAATAATAATAATAAAATAAAAACGTGGCTTGTTAAAAAACAAAAAAAAACAAAATTTTTACATTTTCTGTACAAAACATTTCTGACTGTTTCCAACTAGACTTAGCATGAAGTTGAATTTACAAGTGATCGGTTAAATTTAAGTAGCATTTAATCAGCACATATTACACAAATAAATTCCCAGCCAACAAGACAAATCAACACCTAGTTTACTCAAATATCTCTTAGAATGTCATTATCAAGCTACAATGCCAGATTTTTTTGCATTGCTTGTCTGTAGGAGTAATACATTCAAAATGTGTTAAGCTCTCAGTCTCTTTGTGATTTAATGAGATGATACTAAGCCTTTCCGCAGGACTAGTTCTTACTTACTGTCCTGAGGAGTCAATGCTTTTAGCCTGTCTAACTTGGCTGGACATTGCTTTTTTTCATTCCCCACTTCCATTTTGTCATCTCTTACCCCTGTGCTTGCATCTTCAGTTTTGCTTATTTTACAAGCAGGACCTTTTTCCTGCTCCTGGCTTGGCCCTTTAACCAACTCTTTTTCTTGAGTCAATGGTCTAACTACTGGTCTACACTCTCTTTCAGTTGGGCTACCCATTTGTTTTTGATTTAGGCTAAAAACATCAGGATGGTTAATTATACGATTTGGAAAGCGCACAAGACCTGTTGGGGTAGGAAGTAGGGCAACTCTGTGTGGTTGTCCTCCACTGTTTTTAGTTGCACCTATGTTTGATTCAGAATGTGGATCACTAGGGCCTTGAGATCTAGTACTTGGATGAAGACTATTGAAATGAGGCGAGGTTCCCCTTATATCTGATCCTTGCATGTCTATGTTTATGGGGGGTTTAGATCCCCTTAAATCTAACCCTGGGCCCATTATGCCTGGACCCCTCCTATCAGACCCAGGGCCCTCAGTTTCTGTAGGCCACCTCCCAGGTCTGACATCTGAACTTCCAGGTGCTGGCTCCCTATTGGTGTTACCATGTCCTATTCTTCTCATGTCTGGACCCCTCATTTCCCTCCTAAAATCATGCTGAAATCCTTGTCTATCTGTTCCAGGTTTTTCCATGTCTACCTGCCTTTCAGATCCTAGTCCCCCACAATCTGAAAATCTCCCATCAGTCTCAGGTCCTTCCATGTTTCGCCCTCTCTTAATACCCCTGAAGTCTGGCTTCCTACAGTCATCCCCCATATCTTGACCCCATCTCATATCGGATCCTGGTTCTCTCATGCCTGGATCTCTTATATCATGGCCTTGTCCACTGTTTTCTGTATCTCTTTGCCTACTGAAAAATGGCCCAGGCCTCCTTCTGTTGGGCCCAAACCCTCGATCAGGCTCTCTCCTCCCACGTCCTCCCCTACTGGGCCCTAGGCATTTCATATCTGGGTCACCCTCGACAGGATCTGGACCCCTATAACCAGGACCATCATCTCCTGGACCTCTCAAAGGCCCGGGAAATGGCATATTTTGTCTTTCTTGTATGGGCCTTGGCCCAATACTTTCAGGGCCACTCCATCCCCTTCGAGGACCTTGCCTAGTATGTGCTTGAGCATGCTCAACTGGACCTTGGTTGGGGCCTGGACCCCTGTTGTCATGTCTATTCCAATCATCTCCTGAACATTCTATTTCATTTCCTACAGCCTCCATATTGGGCCCTCTTCTATCTGACCATTGTTCCACTCTGTCTGGGCCTCTCATATCAGGTGCAGAGCCCCTGAAACTTCTCATATCTGGCCCATGCCCTCTTATGTTTCCCCTGATAGGCCTTGAACCCCTTACGTTTCGAGATATAGGTTCTTGGATAGGTTCTGATCCTCCATAGTCAGCCTCTCCCCAGCCATCTCTTCTTTGTCTCATACCTTCTCTTTTTGGACTTCTGTGCCTGATTCCTGGGTCCCTAAAGTCATGACTACCTGGTCTTCTCCAATCTGGTCCTTGGCCCTCAAAATCTGTACTCCTCTTTTCAAGTCCAGGCTCTTTGAAGCCTGAGTCTCCTGGTCCTTGTCTTTCAGGCCCTGGGCACTCAATGTCTGGACCTTTAAAATCTAGACCTCTTGGACATGGACTATTGAGCCCTTGAACCTCCATAACATTTCTTTCAGGCCTAACTCCTCTTGAGTGCGGATTTCTTCTATCAGACCCTGGGCCCACTATGTCTGAAGGTCTTCTTTCTAACTCAGGAGCCCTAAAGTGTTGGCCACCTGGAAAGTCCCTGCTGTCAGAGTTTTCCTCCGTCTCTGGAAGCCTTCTATTTGGACCACGACCTCTAAAATGTTGACCTTCTCTCCTCTCAGGCCTTGGGCTCTCTTTGTTTGGATCTGAATGCCCTGGTTTCCTCATGTCTGGACCATCTGACATTGTCCTGTTGAAATCTGGACCCTCCATACCAAAACCTTGTTGTCCCCTGTTGTTTGGAGCTCCAGGTCCTCTCATGTCAGGCCCAGAACCTTCCATTGCTTGATTTCTAGTTAAAAGTCCTGGTTCGCTGAAATCTGGACTGCCAGGACCTCTAATGTCAGGCCCAGGTCGCTCCAAAGATGAACTTCTCCTTTCAGACCCAGGTCTTCTGAAATGTGGACCATCAGGTACTACTTCCTGTCCTCTAACTCGAGGCCCTGGACCTTCTATACCTGGACCACTAAAGTCTGGAACTTCTGATTCTCCTGTGTAAGGCCCCAAACCAGTGATACCAAGACCTCTTATATTGGATCCTGGTCCACTGAAATCTGGACCTCCTGGTCCTCTTCTGCCAGGTCCTGGAGCCTCCATAGATAGGCTTCTTCTCTCAGGTCCTGGTTCTCTGAAACCTGGACCTCTAGTACCTCTCCTGTCAGGCCCAGGACCCTCCATAGAGAAGTCTCTGCATTCAGACCACGGTACCCGGAAATTCTGACCTTGAGGTCCTCTCCTGTCACGCCCAGGCCCCTCCATAGATAAGCTTCTGATTTCAGGCCCTGGTCCTTTAAAATCTTGACCGCCGGAGACTCTCATGTCAGGCCCAGGACCCTCCATAGCTGGACCTTTTCTTTCAGGTTCTGGCTCTCTGAAATCTTGACCACTAGTTCCTCTTCTGTCAGGCCCAAAACGCTCCATAGATAAACTTCTTCTCTCAGGCCTTGGACCTCCGAAAACTGGACCTCCAGGTCCTCTCCTGTCAGACCCATTACCCTCCATAGAAAAGTCTCTGCTTTCAGGCCTTGGCCCCCTGAAATCTGGACATCCAGGTCCCCTGTCGGGTCTAAGAGCATCCATAGCTTGACTTCTTTTTCCAGTTCCTAGATCTATGAAATCTGGACCTCCAGGTCCTCTCCTGTCGGGCCCAGGATCCTCCATAGCTGGACCTCTCCTTTCAGCTCCTGGTCCTCTGAAATCTGGACCTCCAGGTCCTTTCCAGTCAGGCCCAGGACCATCAAAAGCTCGACCACTCCTCTCAGGCCCTGGCACCCTGTAATCTGGACCTCTGGGCTCTCTCCTGTCAGGCCCAGGACCCTCCGTAGCTGGACCTCTACTTTCAGGTCCTGGTCCTCTGAAATCTGGACCTCCTGGCCCTCTCCTGTCATGCCAGGGACCATCCATAGCTGGACCTTTACTTTCAGGTCCTGGTCCTTTGAAATCTGGACCTCCAGGCCCTCTTCTGTCAGGCCAGGGGCCATCCATAGCTGGACCTCTTCTTTCAGTTCCTGGTCCTTGGAAATCTGGACCTCCAGGTCCCCTCCTGTCAGGCCCAGGACCCTCCATAGCTTGACCCCTCCTTTCAGGAGCTGGTCCTTTGAAATCTGGACCTTCGGGCCCTCTCCTTTCAGGCCCAGGACCCTCTATAGCGAGACCCCTAATTTCAGAACCTTGTCCCCTGAAATCTGGCCCTCCTGGCCCTCTCCTTTCAGGCCAGGGACCATCCATAGCTGGACCTCTACTTTCAGGTCCTGGTCCTTTAAAATCTGGACCTCCAGGCCGTCTCCTGTCAGGCCAGGGACCCTCCATAGCTGGACCTCTTCTTTCAGTTCCTGGTCCTTGGAAATCTGGACCTCCAGGTCCCCTCCTGTCAGGCCCAGGACCCTCCATAGCTTGACCCCTCCTTTCAGGAGCTGGTCCTTTGAAATCTGGACCTTCTGGCCCTCTCCTTTCAGGCCCAGGACCCTCCATAGCTTGACCACTCCTCTCAGGCCCTGGCACCCTGTAATCTGGACCTTCGGGCCCTCTCTTTTCAGGCCCAGGACCCTCCATAGCTTTACCCCTCCTTTCAGGAGCTGATCCTTTGAAATCTGGACCTTCGGGCCCTCTCCTTTCAGGTCCATGACCCTCTATAGCGAGACCCCTAATTTCAGAACCTGGTCCCTTGAAATCTGGACCTCCAGGCCGTCTCCTGTCAGGCCAGGGACCCTCCATAGCTGGACCTCTACTTTCAGGTCCTGGTCCTTTAAAATCTGGACCTCCAGGCCGTCTCCTGTCAGGCCAGGGGCCTTCCATAGCTGGACCTCTTCTTTCAGTTCCTGGTCCTTGGAAATCTGGACCTCCGGGCCCTCTTCGGTCAGGCTCAGGACCCTCTATTGATGAGCCTCTGCTTTCTGGCCCTTCTCCCCTATAAACTGGACCTCTAGGTACTCCCCTGTCAGACCCAGGGCCCTCCATGGCTGGACCTCTCTTTTCATGTCCTGGTCCCCTAAAATCTGGCCCTCTAGGTCCTCTCCTGTCAGGCCCAGGTCCTTCCATAGATAAGCCTCTGCTTACAGGCCCTGGTCCCCTAACATCTGGCCCTCCAGGTTCTCTCCTGTTAGGCCCATGACCCATCCTATCCTGATCATTCATTTCAAGTCCTGGTCTCACAAATTCTGGACCCCCTGGTGCCATGAAATTGGGACCCACTAATCTTTTCCTGTCAGGCCTAATGTCCTCTATCAGTCCACAGCTCATTTCAGATGCTGGTCCTCTAAAGTCTAGGTCTCCAACCCCTCTTCTGTTAGGTACCTGGTTCTCCAGGTGTGGACCTCTACTGTTAGGCGGAGGGACTCTCCATTCATCTTGTATAAATGGCCCTTCTCTGAGTGGACCTGATCCTCTCATATCTGTACCTCTGCAATCATCTCTTATGACTGTTCCTGGGTCACCACAATCTATACCTCTCATATGTAGACCCAGGCCTATATTTTGACTCGTTTGACCCCTTATATCGGGACCAGCAACGGGACCTGGACCACTCCAATCAGGAGTTTTAATGTTAAGCATGCCATCGCCCCTTGTATCTGAGCCACCCATACTACCAATATCTTGACTAGGCCTCATGTAACTTCCTCTTTGTGTCATATTTGGCCTTCTTAATTCACAAATAGTTTCTGATTCTTTCATGTCAGTGCCATGCACACTCTTTCCAGCTGTCATACCGAGATTTGTCTTCTTAAAAGGTTCTCTAGGCCCACTGTCTTCTCCAAAGAAGGGTATGTTAGAACCACCACTTTCATAATTAATGTTTGGCCCTGGTCCTCTCATGGGTACATTTCGCCCTTTTTGTGGACCCCACCTCTCATGAGCAAATAAAGGCTCTCTTGTGCCCCTTATATCAGCTTCAGTTATATGTGACGAAGGGCCCTTTATGAATAGATCTCTACTCTTGTTCTGTAGATCTGATCCTTCCCCACATGAATTTATAACAGCTGGTACAAGCATTTGTCCACTCACTTCTGTCTCACTGTGCATCATATCAGGAGCTGGAGCTGTGAGTTCTAGGTTCAAGCCTTGCATACTAGATACGTGTTGTGTATGTGATCCAGGACCCCAAATGGTGGTACCTTTTCCTTGCATGTCTGGACCTCTCCTATTGGGGCCTGGGAATCCAGTTTCTGTTACTCTAAGATCTATCTGTGGTTCAATATGTCCAGGTCCTGGCTGTTTTGTCACAGGATCTTTTTCAGTTCCTGAGGCCTGAATATCTGAGCCTATAGCTCGAATTGAATCCCCCTCCCCTTGACCCAATATTTTAGGATGTTTTAAGCCTGGATGTCCCATTTCTATCTGTTTGTCTGCCTCTTTTATAACCTCATCTTTGACCCCTTGCCCCTCTAGAACTAAGGCACCTCGACCGGTTGGCCACAGTATTTTGGACATTGTAGCTTGACCACCAATAGGCAAACAAATACTTTCAACTTTATCATGTGGCATTGAGACACTGGTAAGGGTCTGAGGATCTCTGATTTCCTCAATTTTAGGCCCCCTCTTTTCTGTGCGAATAGGTTTTACAAACTGTGGCTCTGGATCAGGGCTCTGAGGAGAATCTCGAATGGGCGGATCAGTTTCACGTAGAGGGACTGGAATTTCAAATTTGCTAAACAGAGTTTCAAGTTGAGAGGGTATATTCACCTGGTTAGAGGAACCACTATCTGTGTCGCCACTGACAGACGTGTTTTGAGGCTCTTGGGACTTTGGATCTTTTAAAGTATTGAGCTTGAAATTGTGAAGAAGTTCATGTGAAGAGGGAGAAAAGCCTTCATCAACACTCTTAACAAGATGACTTTTTAGCTGATGTCCAACAGGAGGGTAACTTTTAATAGTAACTGAACTGGATGATGATTGGTTACTCTCTAAAAATGTTCCATCAATAGAGTCTAAAGAGTCTGGAGCATTACACAGAACAGTTAAAGGCTTTGATATCTCAAGGACTTGAGGTGAAGGATCTCTGTTCCATTTTGGCGATATGGACCCAGAATCTGTTTTTCTAGGAGAACATGGGGATCTTCTACGCCCATGAGAATGCTGCCGTGGGGTATGCTCTTTACATTGGCGACCTTGGCGGTCAGACTGGTCTCTGGCTCTATGCCTTGACCTGTCCCTTTCACTTTTTCTGTGTCTATCCTTTTCTCTATGTCTCCGGGAATGTGAAGGAGAACGTCGCTGTGATCTTTTAGAAGGACTTCCATGGCGGCTCCTTTCATGATGACTCCGCCTCTTTGGTGATAACCTTCTCTTTCTGCTGTGGTGTGAACTCAGAGGACTGCCCTTGTGAGAGGCACTATGCCCTATTCTCGACAAAGATAAATCACGGGTCTTTATACTGCCTCCTTGAAAAACATCATCTTGAAAAACATCAAAAAGTGATTCGTCTTCAGGATCATAAGCTACATCAGAGTCTTCAATCTCACCCGCAGAGGAATATTTGTCACTTTCTTTAACATCAGCCTGTGTTTTATCTTGCTCTGTAACTGTTTCTGCATCAATTTCTACATTAGGTGTGGCAGTTGTGTCTTGTTTAACAGTTTGTGAATCTACATTTGAACTGTCCTCAGTCTCTGTAAGGTTGCTGGTCTTGTCTGTTGATTCTGACAGTTGACTGAGAGGCAAAGCTTTTTGTGGGGGAGACATCAGGGAATCAGAAACAGAAAAACGAGCCATAAAGATACCAACAGCCTCTCTCTGTTGACGTAGGGCCTCTTCCTGCTCCTTCAATTGCTGCTTTTGCTCTTCAATCTGCCTATTGAGATCCTCAAGCATTCGTTGTTGTTCAGTTAGTGTTGCAGCTGAGACAACCACAGTGCCTGTAGGAATGTTCTGCATTATTACAGCTTGGGTAGAGGATTGCACAGCAGTGGAGTTGGGAGTTGGTGTTTTAATCTGGGTGGATATTGGGGTTTGGCATGATGGAGTACCTGACGTTTGAGTTTGAGCAGGGGGCTTTGTCACAGCAATTTCCCTTTGCATATCTGCAAAGATAGTGTCGTCTTCTGGATCATAGGCCACATCATCGTCTACACAGCCTGATACTGCAGGACCCTCTGTCTTCATTTTCTCAATGTTCTGAGGAGCAACCATTCCATATCCCATTGCTGAATCATACTCCTCTTCTGGGTCATATGGTCGGTCAAAGTCATTTTCTTCTTCTATTTTTTTAACTTTTGATTTCTGTCCATATTGTTGGACAATTGGATCCACCATTGATCGAGACACCTTAGAAAACACTGGGACCTTCTTAACATGAACTGTTGCTGTTGAAGATTGTACGTCAGAAGAGACAACGGAGTCAGTTTGCTTATTGCCAAACAAACTTTTCAAGATGGTCTGCAGTGGTGATTTATTACTGGATGCTGCTGTGGCATTTTTGTCACTCTCAGAGGTGGACTGGGTGGCAGCAACTGCAGCTGAGGTAGAGAAAGGAGGGTTTGTTCTAAAAGAATTATAACAAGATGGTAGGGCAACTGATCCAGAAGAGGACAAGCCTGATGGTGACCCAGGGCAAAGTGGTGAGCCAGGAGGGGAGGTGTTAGCAGGAGTCTCAGGATCGTAGGGTTGAAATATTTCCAATTTGTCAGAACCATAAAGGACTGGGGGTTTTGGGATCCACATAGGGTCTTTGGACATATTAACTTTGGGTCTCTTCTCTTCAATTTCCTGAGGCAAGCTTCCTGGACGTTTTGTCTTTTGGATGACAGCCAGACCCAGAAGAAGATTTGGCCGGTTTTTTTCAAAACCTGTGAAATGAACAAAAAGTACAAATATAGAATTAGAACAGGTTAAGAACTAACAATGGGCTTCCCATTATTGATTTTTTGTTTTACTTTTGCCAGAAAGGTAAAACAGTTCAGATTCACAAAAGAAAAGGTTCGGGAACCAATAATGAAATTATCTGACACCAAAAACGAATCATAAGAGAGGGAAGTGAGCAATTTTCTCCTTATTAGGGATAGCATATGTTAACATTTTGTTCAGGAGATGGAACAGCCCCTGCTGTTCCACATTCAGACCCCTTAAAGATCTCCTATCATGCTATTTTTAGGCATATATTATGGGTCTCAGATATATACAAATATATAAAAAACATGTCCATGATGTTTTTTACTCAAAATACCAAACCGATCATGCATTTTAGACATCCCTCATATCCCTCTATTTCAGCCCTGTTAGAGAACTGCTGATTCTGTGACTGTAGCTGCTGGCCCCGCCCCCTTTTGAGCACGTCAAGGCAAGCTGTGAGCTGCAGAGGGAAGATAGAGATTTCTACCAGCAGATACAGCTAAATGCTGCCGTGATTAAATGCCATATCATGTTCCAAACCACATCAAGGATTATATCTGAAATGATATGGAGCTCAAATGCTTTTTCTCTTGCGGGTTAACCACAAGGTGAGTTCCTTTTTTTATTTCCTGCTTTTTTACACATACTCTCTGCAGTACAGGTTAGCTCTGAGTGTTAGCGATGCTTGCTAATGTAAACAAAGATCATATTACGTCCAAAACACATCGTGCATTGTTTCTGATAGCAACGTTTCTGATAGGGCTGTCGGTCTAAAGCCAGCCCACATTTCCGATATTACGTCATATCGGCAGCAAATTTGGATCAGCACCGTTGTACCCCAGTTTTTAGCGATTTGGGTATGGAGGAAAATAGTTTCTGACACTTTGTGAGTTTCCTGACACACCGGGGACACATATTTATGTATAAAAGCATGATAGGAGACCTTTAAATAATTAAAACAGGAAATGTATTCATTTATGGGGCTATAGCAGCCTGAAAGCTGTTGTTTTTCGTAATTGAAGGTGTTGACATAGCCCAAAAATACCGAAGGTTATCCTCAAACACTTTAAGATGTAAAGGATTATCACACCTGGTCCGTCAAGAGGTTGGAGTATGGTTGGGATTGATTCCTTTGCACTTAGTGGGACAAGGTATACATCTTTGATGGAACGGCTGCCATTGGCGACCACACCATAACGACCTCTGCTGTTGAAGTAGGAAAATAGGGAGACATAGGCCACCTCTTCCTCCTCTGTTGCAGGGTGAAACCGGATCACACATAACTCCTAATAAACAGAAAACAAAAATAATAAACGTGATATATTGATAGGTATCCAGTGCTATTGTACAAGACACCAAAAGGAATCGAAAAACGACTGCTTGCCTTTGTAACAGAGGTCTTTAGTTTTGCAACATAGTCCCACACTGTTTGAGGCAGGATTCGTCCTGCTATTTGTATGGTATCAGGTAGATCCTAAACACAAGGGAATAAAAGCAAATATATTTTCTTTAACTCAACTGTTGATAATGTCAGATCTTTTTCAATACAACATGTATTATCGTGCACCACTATACCGCTTTGAGATTTTCAGCCGTTCCTGAAACCATATATCCTTTGGTGACAAACTTGGCCACAGAGAGCATGTTTAGGAAGCCTTTCCACACTATCTCATGCTTAGCCAAGAACTGGGAAGTTTCACCATCAGCTGGGGATTCAGAGATCACAGTCCTGGGACACAAAACACAACAGCATAATGATAATCATATTCACGCATGATGCTGATTTTGTCTCAAATGTAAACCACCTGACAAAGAAAATAAGAGTTATTCTATTATAATGTTATTTAACCACCTTGAGGATGTCCCATAGAGTCTGGGATCAGCAGAGGATGATGGCTTCATTAAGATCGACTTGGGTAATGGTTTTGTTGGTGGTCCCAAGTACGTTGGTGCTGAGGGCGAAGCAGAGGTAGTCTCTTGACGAATAGAATAAGATACTGATTGGTTATTGGTTGTGTTACTTGGACTGGATGTGCCTCTAGACGAAGAAGACCTGTTTGCGGCAGTGCGGGGGTCACGCCTTGTGATAGTAACTGTGGAGACTGCTGGGATCACAACTGGTGTGTAGGATCTCTTTTGTGTAGTAGTTTTAGGAGTGTCTGGAGTTGGGGAAGCAGGGGATTCCATGACAGGGGAGGCTGGAGAGTCCATTATAGGGGACGCTGGGGATTCAACGATAGTCAGCGCTGGAGCGTCAATGATAAGACGGGGTGAATAATCCATTAGGGATGTTGGAGAATCCATGTCAGGTGAGTCAGGCGGGGCCCTCAGAGGAGAGTCATCTCCGGCACATTTTCTCCAAGAGCGTTCATATTTATCTCTTGTCTCAGAAATCTTGGGTTTTTTCTTTGCCGGTTCCTCGTCTTCCCCAGCGAGCATTTGACCTTCAGGAAAAAATAAGAATGCATTTAAAACACTTAATGTAACAATAAGTGGCCATTGGAAAATCATTTCTACAAAGTTTTGTATAGCAATAGTGAAATCACTTTTTAATTCACCTGTGCATATTTTGCATTTCAGGTCAAAGAGATGAGCTTTGTGCTCTGATGTTGTGTCCTTCAGCATGCAGGAGAGAATATCTGGTACAGCACTGCCCTGGTTCGGCTGGCTTGTTCTGGTCTTGGGAGCAAGAGCAGGAAGGTGTTTCTTTTGTTCCTGGAACGCAAACTTTACAGACACAAATAGAATTAAATCACAAAGATATCATAACATCCATGTACTTTCAGGATTCATTTTTATAAGGTGCAGAAGTAACAAGGAAAAGGTACACACCGTGCTTCTAGCAGGTCTAGTGGGATTCAAACTGGGCAAATCCACCTTCACTGCCTCAGGCTTTTGCGGCAAACTTGTCGCTTTAGCAGCTGCATTCTTAACCTAGATACAAAAAAGCAAAAGATAACCACTTCTGAAAACTTGATCCTTTAAGTTGAAGCACAATACCTGATTCTGTCTTGGTTGTTGTGTTTAATATCTATAACACTTTACCTCTGTAGTTTCTTTTGCACTTGGCTCTGATGCTTTGGTAGCCTGCATATCCTTCTGGCTCATTCTGGCCAGTCTGAAGGGACTGATCTCTCCACGTACGACACGATACAACAAGCCCTAAGGAAAACCCAAAACTGACTGTCAGTTTTCTAAAAACATAATTATCTATAACATGACTTAAAAAAACACGTCTCTTAGCAAATGTTTGCTGTATTGCAAGTAGAATAGAGATCACAAAACAGAAATGGGTTTTATCAACATTACACAAACCTTGTTTTTCGGGTCTTTCAGGTTGAACATAATAGTTCTGTACTTGTTCATGTATTTGCTGTCTGTGTTGCGAAATATGTCGAACATCTCCATCTCAATGCTTGAGACAAGCTTTGCTATGTCACTCTCTGACATCTCCAAGTCCTCACAATCACACACCCTTAAAAATTCAAACGCAGTTAGTAAAGAAAATTGTATCATTGCACTCAAATGTAGTTTTAAGTGAAACATATATATTGGGCTATATTCATATTTTTTATAAAGTGCAGCATTTTCAGGTAAGTAATACATATACAGTATATCCTGATTACGTTTTATCTGTTAAAAAATTGATTAAATTGCTAATTATAAAAGTGCAGAGGGTTGTGTTTCAATAACTGACTACATTATAAAGTAATCTGACCCAACCCGGCATGCTTATCAAATACAATTTTTTTTTATACATACTAAAACTATTCACAGCATTAACCCTCAGCAATAGGTCATATTTGTAAAATGTTGTAAGTGTAAATAATAGGACTTTTACACAAATCTTACACAGTTCTCACCTTTTTAACAGGATGCTGATGAGGGAGCGCTGGATGCTCTGTCTGACCTGGGTATTGGGCTGGGAGGGTCTGGAGGAGGGAGGAGCACTGGGTGCAGGGGGCACCAGCAGATTTCTGGTTTCGTTCATCAGCGTTGGGGCAGAAGAAGGCTTTTGGCCCGACGTTGAGGCTGACAGGTGGCTGGATGGAGCCTGGGGGGCAGGGTGCTTCTTTGGTATGACGTACGCGGTCTTAGTGACCATAAGAGCCCCTGTTTCATGATGTCTGGGAGCTGAGGTGGAGGGGGATTGTGGGGCAGGAGGTACACTCGTTTTTGTTGGGTTTGGTAGTATAGAGGGATCTGAATATGCAGATTGCTGCTGAGGCACTGCACTGGTGATTGGCTGCTTTGCCTGTTCTTCAGAGTGGCTCTGTGTCGATGGTGTCTCAGCGGCAGGCTGGGAAGAGGGGGCAACATCAGTCGAGGTCTCATCTGCAGGTGGTTTGATAGAAGTTGCAACCTCACTGTCTGCCTCTACCTGTTCATTGTCCTTTATAGCTGTTAGAAAAAAGAAAAGCAAGGCATCGTGTAAATATGAAGGACTATCTAACCTTTGTGATGTAAACCAACTTGTGCAAGAAAAGTTGTTTTTAGAAATGTATTGAAAAATCGGATGGCTATAATTAAAACAATTATCTTTCCATTTAAAAAGGGACTTATCCTTTCCAGGGCTATGGGCTGACATTGGGAGAGGGGCGTGGTAAAGCCTGGGCAACCAGGCAATACCAAGGTGTAGGAAGGGGTATTCTTTCAGTCATGTTGATGGTTACAGACACATAGATGCAGCAGAAACAGATTTTTCTATTTTTGCTTCATGCAATGTGCAAATTAACTTTCCTAAAATAATAATCTGTTTTCATTTTTCTTCAAGTTTTTGCGAAGTTTAATTTCTCAAATCAAGGCTTTGTTAATATGACCTTTTAGGCCTATTTTACATGCTAAAGTGCTTTAAAGGTCCCAACAATATTCATGAGAAAGCTCAGTAAAACATTTGACAGACCCTCACTCACCAAAGGGTTTCAGGGGTAAAAGATAAATATCAATATCCCCTTATGGAAAAATCTCAAAGACAACACGCCTACAGTGAAGGCTCGAATGTGCGGTTTATGGAAGCACTCTCGCAGTTATTCCTTGTGTCCTCTAGTGACTTTCAATTTTGAAATATCACTAAAATGTTTATCTTCTTCCACAGTTCTCTCATAGGATGCAACAACATTCACCTGCTTGGCAATATCCTTCTTTGTTTGCAGTAGGTAAAGGCCATTTGAAGGATATGAATAATAGTTGAATGCATTTGACATTTATGACAAGTATTCTCTGGTTCTCAAACCTGTGATAAATATGACATTAGTAAGGTCATTTGTATACATATGAGGAAAATTGCATATTTGATTACAAATAAATGGATAAATGGGATCTATTGTCTGTTTTTGAGATGAATAGAATTCATGTGAAGCACCAAATCCAAGTCAGCAAGGAGATGCTTTGACTTGAATGTACTTGAATAGTTTAACAAGCTGTTTCTCCATTTCCTGTCCATATTTATATAACTCCATGGCTCACATTGGAGGTGATAGAAAATCCTAGCGATAAAAATATCAACTTTTCCCTATTTGTCCCTACATCAAATCAAATCAAGTTTTATTTATATAGCACATTTATAAGCGATTTTTGGTCGAGCCAAAGTGCTGTACATATAATAAAAATAGCCTACAGTAGAGACACTTTACAGCAAATACAACAGCACAGATTGTTCAGAATATCAGTATGAGAAAAACGACACCCTCTATCCTTAGACATACATACATACATACATACATACATACATACATACATACATACATACATACATACATACATACATACATACATACATACACACATACATACATACATTGAATATGCTTCAACAAAAGTCTTAAGTTGTCCTTATTTTTTATATAACTGCTGAGACAATTGATTGATTCAATTGCTTATCTTCTTGACCTAACTGTCATTGCTTTTAAATTAAATTGTTTTATATATATTGATATGTTTTCTTCCTTAAAGGTAGGGTAGGTAAGAATGGAGAAACCAGCTCGAGTGCGCTAGAATTTGAAAGTACACAGCCGAAAAAAATCTGCCCCTTCCTTCAGACTTCCTCACAGAGCCCCTCCTCCAACACACACGAGCACGCATGACCAATGAGGGCACGAGATAAGTTTGTGCACGACATGGTAGGCCATCCAGTTATTTAAGCCGGCCCGGCTTTTTACAGCGCCACGGCTTCCACAGATGACATTTTTTTATGGATTTATTGTCAAAGCATTTAATGTATTCATTGCTATCGGGATGTTAAGAGCATTCCATGTTTCTGAAGTGAATTACCTACCCCACCTTCCTTAATTGATAAATGACTATTGACTTTATACATTTTATTTACTTCAGCACCAATTAAAGCGTGTTCCCCCTATGTGTTTTCTAAAGGTTTGAAGTAGATAGAAATAAGAAGAAAGAAATAAAGATGTTTAAATAGCAGATAATGGTTTTCTCCCTGTTGGATTTGTTAAAGAAAGGGTCAGCAGTGAGGAGGAAGATGGCAGGGTAAAGCCTAAACATATACCGAGGTGTGCATTTACTCAAATACTTTACTTAAATACAAAGTTGAGGTACTTCTACTTCACTTGAGCATTTTCCTGTCATTTTCCATTCTCCTATTGAAAGCTAGTTACTTTACAGGGGTTGATCTTTGCACACAAAATATATGAAAAGAACAAGTACAGCTCAAATTAAAAGTTGATTAATCCTTTTTCGTAATTATTTAGCAAATATGTTTATAATTGTTTAGACGTGTAAAAACATCCATATTTGAAGCTTCACAAATTAAGGAATTAACTGCCTTTCATTTGAAAGATATTACTGTAGTGATTTATACAAAATAGTACAAATATGAATAATTATTACAAAATAAAAACAGGTTGATCTCAACCAGCTACAAATGAAATTTAAAATCCCAAATATTTACAAATATAACACTCCCAAGAGCCAATCTTTTGCATTTAGTACTTTTTATACTTGCACTTATACTCAACAAATTGTACTTACTATACAAAACTAAAATTGTACTTGCAATGGAGTATTTTTACAACTTGGTATAAGTGTTTTAATTAAATAAATAATCTAATTATTTATTCCACCTATGCGTATACCTAAAATAAATCATACTTTATTAAAAGTATTAAATTAATCCTGTTTTTGATTCATGAGAACTTGAGGATTGTGCATTCAGATGAAATGAGGTAAACTGTGGTGTGGGCTGAACCTCTTTGAATGTAAGTGCTCAGATAACTATCATAGTAGGAAGAAAGCCGCCTCTTTGTCACTTTATAGCATGCCTAAAAGGCACTTGGGCAGTGACAAGCTGTCCATTCAAAAAGGACTAATTATGTAAAGTGCATTGTAGTAAAAAGAAAAACAGGGACACATCCTTTCATGGATCCGGAAACAGGAAGAGATTGAATGATCATGTTTTAGTTCATCATCCGTGGGCCGGTAGACCAACTAAACCAATGGAAAACTGAGTAAATAAGCTCAAATATATTAAAATCAGTTAAAAAGTAAAATAATTAAGAATCTTTAGTTGTGCATGATTCTGATTTGAGAGTGTGTGTGTGTGTGTGTGTGTGTCAAGTAACAAATGTGTGGTTTCAAGTTGTTTATACTAAATATATATAAATACGATATATTTTACTATATGTATATATATATATATTATACTCTTTTTATTCAAGCAATTGTTCAATGTGTGAAAAATCTCGGCACACACATACCAATGAAACTACGGTATACTCTTCAAAAATACATTTTCAATTCATATTTACATTAACAAACTAAAGTCAAACTAAATCATTTATATTAATGCAGTTCTCACATGATGACATGCATTTTCTTCGTTTAGGTCTTCAGTAATGATGCTTCAACTCGGAAGATATTTTTCTTTCATTCTTTGCATTTTTTCCTCTGAGGGTGAATTTCTGCCAGTTCCTCTCACTCTAATCTTCTGTGACACGTCATTCACTACCCTGACGTCACCATGGTTAGACACCATGATCTTTCTTGCAGCCAATCAGTCCTTAGATGCTGTTCTTTAAATATCACAGCAATTCTGTCAGACCTACTACTGTGCAGCCCACCATCTCGCCATCACCTCGAAGTGATTCAACTGAGATTTCATTAACCACCTGCTGGCTTTACTCCACCACCGCCAGCAGCCTTTCCACTCCTGGTATCCTGATGTATCTCTCATCATATAGGCCTACGATTAATGAAGAAGCCAGGCATCGATCGAGTCCAAACAGCAAAACTGTTCTCTGTTGCTAACTCTAATAAACACTGATATTAAATACTGTTACATCCCAAACGGATCGCTCTGTTTGAAAATATATTCAATGTACACATCAATTGTGTTTTCGTGTTTTGCTGGATTGTACGGAGCCCCCCTGGTGACATTGGTGAGAAAAATATTAATTCGTGGCCACGTATTAATAATGCGTGGCCACGAATTAGTTATTATGTTCCCACGCATTAGTAATCCGTGGGAACACAATAATTATTACGCAATAACTAAATCCAGATAGTCTATAGAAACTGATGACTGAGGGACAACACTACAGATGTAGCACCTAATTTCAGACAGTTTGAAACGCGAGGGCCGTGGCCGGCACGGGGTCTGCCCTCGCTCAAAGGAAAACCTCCAGCGTGAATTGAGACCGCCCCCTTGATAAATACATTTAATTATAATGAAGCCAGCTGCAATGGATCATGGACTCTGATATAGTACGGTAGATTTATGTCTGGTAGGCTGTATGGCGGATCTTTGTTAAGATCCATATGTCACGGATAGGATCATACTATGTGCTAAATAAGAGACATGTAATCATTTAGGCTACAAAACATCACCATGTTTTTATTTAACAAAATAATGTTGGTTAGTCCACAACTACTGTACAAAAAATATCAGGAAGCCCGCCGGCTCGATTTTTAATTCTAATTTAATCATCATCTTCACCACGATCATTTATGTTTATGTTCGCCGAATTGACATGAAAGCACTGACAAATATGAATATACTGTAGTCAACTTCATTAAAACGTTATTAACGTGCCTAAATTCAGTAATTCACTAAAAATATATATATTTTAATGGAGCCTCGTCAGGCAGATCAGGGTCCCGACAGAGCTCAATAATTATTGTGTGGCAACGCATTACTAATTCGTGGGAACATAATAACTAATTCGTGGCCACGCATTATTAATACGTGGCCACGAATTAATATTTTTCTCACCAATGTCACCAGGGGGGCTCCGTAGGATTGTACTCAAGATGTTGAGTAAATTATGACATAACTCTACTCCCAACAGCATGTATCTTTTATCAAAGCACTGTTCTCAAAACGCACCTTTTTACCAAGGCTTTCGCCACTGTATAGTTAGTTTAATAGGTTTATTTTTCCGCTACTT